TTTTGATACCGTTTCAATCCTGGGTAGTATCGAAGTATCGAGTACTTTGGTATCAGTATCGAACATCACTACCGCGAATATTAGCAGCCGCGAATATAACCCGACCTACGGTATGTACATACATACACACATGTAATGTGTACATATGCTGGGACAGGAATATAATGTATAAAATTACATGTACATTGTACATGCTACATACACAAGTATGCATGTACACATGACATTACATGTTCATCAATAATTATACTGACTGTCACAATAATCACAAATATTACCTTTATCATGTTGTTCCTTGTCTTGTCTCAGTGCAGATATCATAATAGGATCATCATTAATAGTCTCCAAGAAAAGAGAAGCTTTCTCATCATTACTAGATAAATCATTCCTTATCTTCTGTAGAATAGGAAGGGACACTTCTTCCACTGACAGTATAAACTCTAACAATTGAAGTGACTCCAACATTGAGTAAACACAACTACTAGGAATGACTCCTTCATCACCAGACACAAAGGATCTTCCTTTCCACCACAAGCTAGTCTGCTTCTCATATATCTCCAGCTGCTCTCCCTCACTGAATGAAAGATCATCACTCCTTATTCCATGATAGTCAATACGTGCTGTGTAAATAGATTCTGCTGTTGGTGTATCCAGTGATTGTGTACACTGATCCTTCTCTATACAATATATCAATCAGTTAATGATTTAATTACTAACATATCACATACTCTCAATATTTGCCTTTTGTCTCATCAGCAGTTGTTCACTAGATATTGATATATTTTCTTGCAGTAACTCAATCTCTTTCTTATACTCCACTAATGCCTCCTCTCTTCCTGTCATGAGGTAGTATAGACAGATTATACCTGTAGAGTCAGTACCTGCTTTCATTAGGAGAGAGGTTCGGAAATACTGAGTCTCTGATTTCTTTGATTTGAATATTTTATTTATCAACTTCCCTCTAGTCAGTAGCTTTACTTTCAGTTTAGACTCTACAGTAATGACACAATGAGAATTTTAATTCATAAGATAATTGTACTGATTGTTCAAATGATTATCAACTCCACATTACTTTAATACATGCTTTAAGTTAGTACTATACCTGGTGTCTCTAGTCTCCTTTCAATATACTCTATACAAGTAAAAATACATTAATAAAATATCTTCATCATTCACTAACTATATACCTTTTCTTTTTTTGATGATATTCAGTTGTTTATCTTGTTCAAATATTGATCCTATACCATTAGTATAAGTAACATCAGTAATTGAGTAATAGATCAACTATCACACCTTCTTTGTAATCAAGTAAAGTCCTCAGTTCTTGTTCCTCTCCATCAGCTAGTTTAATCTCCTCTGCAAGACACTCATTATTCATTACCTATAATCAGTACATAATATTAAACAAGGTCTCATACAGTTACAGTATCTTATACTTTGTATCTGAT